ACAGAATGTGAAAACCTTTGCATCTTCTGATAGTCTAGCCAAGGTCCAAGAAGTGGCAAGCTGGCTTTTGGAAATGAATCAGGAACTGCTCTCTGTGGGCAGCAAAAGACGACGAACTGGAGGCTCTCTGAGAGGTAACCCTTCCTCAAGCCAGGCAGATGAGGAACAGATGAATCGTGTGGTAGAGGAGGAGGAGCAGCAGCAGCAGCAGCAAAGACAACAAGAGGAGGAACACACCGCGAGGAATGGTGAAGTCGTCGGAGCAGAACCTAGACCCAGAGACCAAAATGATTCCCAGCAAGGACAACTGGAAGAAAACAATAATCGATTTATTTCAGTAGATGAGGACTCCTCGGGAAACCAAGAAGAACCAGAGGAAGATGAAGAACATGCTGGGGAACAAGATGAGGAGGATGAAGAAGAAGAGGAAATGGACCAGGAGAGTGATGATTTTGATCAGTCCGATGACAGTAGCAGGGAAGATGAACATACACATAGTAACAGTGTCACAAACTCCAGTAGTATCGTGGACCTGCCTATTCACCAACTCTCCTCCCCATTCTATACAAAGACAACAAAAGTGAGTATATTTGTCTGCTGTGCACTTGAGACATTTTACATATCCATATTAATTGTAATAAAACTTTTCTCGCAGTCTTTGTATTACTGCAAAATTATTAGATATGTAATAATAAAGTGAACTAATTTTTGTTTTACCGAGGTATTAGAAAATATTAGAAATAGAAATGCTGATAATGGGATAATTTTATTACAAATGGAAGGAAGGTAATTGATCCCATTTATTATGATGAAAAAATCATTAATATAAAATTTTATTATAAATTTTGTCCTTGAGACAGAGATTAGTAAGGTTGTGTGCAGTGGAGAAAGTTGAGATGAAACATGATTTGTGTAAATCAAGTAGTGAAAATCTAATTTACAAAATGCAGCTGGTGGGGTGGGCTATTTATTTGTGTTACACCAAGGCACAAGTTACTGGAAGTTACCCCAAATTGGTTTGCTTACTATGACTATGATAATTAAAATTTATACTTTGTAAATAGTCTTCAGTAGTTAAAGAAGGTGAAACTACAACCTGAATATTAATTAATATTTGTGTTTTGGGGAAATCCGAGTTGGTATTTTTAAAAATTATGAAGTACTAGACACTGGCATGTTTAAGATTAAACATTTTTCCTATATTATAAAACAACAGGAATGCATGGTGCTATCTTCACTGTTTGCTTTCTTCTAGAATTTATTAAAATTAAAATATTTAGGAACAGCAGAATAATTGGTTTTTCTTTGACTTCATTTCAGTAGAATACTCCGTTTACTTCTCAAAGGGATTTGAAGATTTATTATAGGGTAACCAAACCATTCTGGTTGATATTTGACTGTGAAAAGTAGGAGATGATGTGAAAGAGGCACTTAGATTTCCTACTTTCTGTCAAGTTTCTGCCACGACTTCCCTTTCCTGTAGTTTTCCTTTCTCTTCTCATTCCTGGGGGATAACTGTGTTGTATCTGCCTCCTTATTTCATTTAGCTAATGGTAGCCCTTGGAGTTAGCCATAGACGTATTTTAAAAGGTGGGCAGTTAGATTCCTGTCTAAACTGGAGGAATCTTATCAACTCAAGGACTTGGCGATTAATCTAGTGCTGAGAAAAACAGTTCCATTGGATGTAGTTCCTAGAGGCTATGCCAGAGATTAGGCCCTGGAATACACAAGCCAAGTCATACTGTCATTGAGTCCAGTATTTATTATCTTTGCTACTGGATAGGAAGGGAGGTGACGAAACGTTAGAGTCCATCTGAACTGGAACGAGGATGTGATTGGGCCGCTGCTGTAAATTTGTATTTGCCAGTACTTTGTTCTTTCAAGTGGCATGTGGGCTTCTTTCCTCAAAACGTTCCTGGATACATATCACTTAAAATTATGGTCATGGCAAGGGGCAAAGATTATGGAAAGAAAGAAGTAGCATTATTCCTCTTACTACCCAATCTTTCTATTGTATTGTCCCTGTCTCCCTGCCTCCCTCCATCAAATTATAGTCAAAATGGAATGATATTGTGTCTGGGCTTTGCTTCAGCAGGGGAGAAAATGGAGGCTATAGATTGACCATAAATTGCCAGTTGTTGAAACTGGGTTACAGGGACATGAGCGTTCATAGATATTATTCTGTATATTTTTCAAAGTATGTTTAAAGTTTTCCATAATAAAATTTTAAGTTGTGAAGAATATGCACCCCCCCACCCACCATCATAACCAAAGTTGGAAATAGGAGTTTTCTTTACATACCGTGGTCTTGTTGACTAGCTCCTAAGTCAAGTAAATGATAACTTCTCCTCTACATTGAATTTTATTTTCTCTGTATTTCGATGCTGTTACAGGACATTTAATACAGTATCATGCCCTTTTTGTTGAGTTAGAATTTATTTTAATCAGTGTTTTAAGCAGTATTGCTATGTAATGGCCTATTCAAAGAGAGAAAGTAAAAAGAATTATACTTAGGATGAATGAGATATGTAACAGCTTCTATCCCCCCCCGCCCCCCAACTCAGGTTTCTAGGCCAAAGATCTTTGTTCGTATGCTTTCTGGTTCTTTATCATTTGAAAATTAGATAAAAATCGTGAATATCTATGTAGAGTAGACTTACGAGTTAAATAATTCTTTGAAAGGAACATTTTAATTTGGATGATAACTTATTTTAGAGGCATTAAAATAAATTTTAATGTAGTAATTTATCCTTTTGACTCCTCTTATTTATTTTTAAATTTTGTGGTGAATCATTGATTTAGCCCATAAACAATATACAAACCAATTTAGCATTCTCTCCTTTAACTTAACTTGACCTGGAATGAAATATCTTAGACACTTGGCTTAATACCTGAATTGCTATGTCATTTTTGCTTCAGCATGTGAAACATAAACTCTTTCTAAAGCATGTTTATCCTCAATTTCCCCAGCCTGTCTTTCGTTTATATTTTATTTAGTTGGTTTGACCTAAGAAGGAACTGGCTTAAAGTGGTTCCTTTTGCGGTTTTCATCCATTTTGTCACCCCCTCTCCAGGTGCTGATGGAGCATCTGGAATCTCAGCCACATGGCTCTAACACTCCCGGCACCTGTGACCCTGCTTTGTTGGTAGGGCGCAGACCTCTCACAGAGCAGAGTGCCCAGCTTCTGTCCCCATCTCCCTCGGACTAGATGAGAAGAGGGAGTTCATATCTCTCCTCTTTTTTTCTGAGGGTTCGGTTGGACAAATGGGGGTTTAGTATTTAATTGCATTATCTTATTTAAGAAAGTTAATTAAAACAGCCTTGCTGAAACGATAACTTCTGTGACATTTCAAAGACAAGAAAGCTAACAGACCTTTTTCCAAAAGAAGTCATTGTAATGATTGGTATGAAAAGTTCCAGCATAAAGATTTGATAGTGCTTTATTTTTCCCTTCAAAATGAAATCATAAATAGAACTTTTAGATATGTCTTATATATAGTTATATAGTTTCCTTCTTAAAAACAAACTATACTGAATTTAAGTCATTTTTCCTTGGTGACTCTTGAGTTGTGAATACAAATTATAGTTTTGTACATAAAGGCCCCAGGCGTGGACTGAGTATTGATAGCATCAGGGGTAGATGTGCGTATGCGTTTGTGTGTATACGTACATATACACGTATATACATGTGTACATGTTTTTAATATACTTATGTTGAGGTCATTTGCCTTCATAAATATGGCAAGAAGAATATAAAACCATTTGATTCCCAAGACAGCGATGCCCTCTATGACGGTGGATTTCAATCTGAAATTGGCCTGTTATTGTTTCTTTCCATTCCTGAAACTCTTCTTCAGGATCATTCCCAGAGTACTTTACTTTTTCAACACCGTTTTTAAAATGTCACCTAAAAAGAAAATGTTAATCATGTATATAAATGTATTTAGTTCAGTAAATAGAGAAAAACTCATTATTTCAAATACTTTATTTTGGAGCTGTTTTAAGTTCTTGATCATTTTACACATAAGACACTTCTGCAAACACTACCCTAGGCCACAGTTTCAAGTCCTCTTAAACTGTGACTTTTGAGAAGAGTAGAGGTATAATAATTATTTTAAAAATTCCATTTTTAAATGTTTTACCCAACATACCTTTCAGTGTTATTTTTTGGCGGTTTCTTAAGCATCCCCTGTGGGCAGCTAGACTTACTTAATTGTCATTCCTGAACATACTCTATATGCAAAAATGATATTAATGAAAAAAATCATTTTTGGTCCTTCCTTACTTTGGTCTTTTCTTTGAAAGTATGTTGAAAAGTATCAAAACTCTTAGGACAATGTTTTTCTTTTTCCTCTAGTCACCAAAGATATGTTCTTCTGGGAGCCTATGGAAATAATATACATTAGAAATCACAAACTGTCTTAATGTTTAAAGTCAAGAGTAGTATCAGTCAAGAATTGGTGATTATTAAGCCCATACTGTTTACAAGTTCCTATGGCAGTAAGTAAGCAGAGATTACAGAGAGACCAAATGATTCACCTCACTTGTCACATCACACTGTGACAAGAGATTGTAATCTAGATCTACCTAATTTCAAAAGAACCCTTTTCTTTCCGTGTGCTATGCTGCCCCCTCTGGTAGAATTTGGCAAACATTACTAAAGATTTTCAGCAGAGCTATAAGTCTGTTTAGGTTCTAGACTACGTGGAGTGTGGTGGCTTTCTAATGCCATGCCACATTTGAAATCACCAGAGCTACCCTTTGGAAAGCACAGAGAGCTCAGTTAAGTGCTTTTCTCTGTGTATTTAACAAACAGTATTGAAGATATGAGGACTCGAGGCTAAAGTTCTAACAGGAAGATATGACAGTGAAATTTGAGACTCGATAACAGACAGTACCCTCTCTAGAGTCCATCAGATATGCTTCTTAACAGGGATTGTGTGCTGGCTGTTTCTATCAATTCGATTAGTTTGCCTGCAAATTCTAAAGTCAGTTTGCTTCCCCAGATAGGAATGCCCATTCTTTGATTTTAACTTCCTGTGTCATATTTAAAACAAAACAACAAAATAAAACTTATTTTCTGAACGGATGCCCAACTCGTATTTAAGAGTCATTTTATATGTTTAATGCAGAGTAACAACTCATTTTCTATTAAAATGAAAATCAAATGAGGTTACCCTTACACCAGGTCTTGTATCCTCTTCAGCTTTTTCTGAAGAGAAACATAAACATGTTTGAGCACTGATTTCTGCTTCCTTCATGTCTAAGTGCTTTCCATCTGTTCTCACATAACTTAATTTCTACCTCAAATTAGTCTTTTTTTCCCCATCCTAAAACTAAACAGTTTTAAAAAATCTTTTAAGAAGTAAATGTTTATTGTTTCTAGTCCACCATCCTCCAGCCACTCTCTTGAAACAGAGCGACTGGGAAACTTTGTAGGACAATATGGCTAACATCTGACATCGAGTAAAGACCGAGACAGTGTTGACTGCTCCAGGAAGGGCCCAGGTCTTGTCTGGTTCTCACAAGACAAAAGACTTAAGTTCAAATTTTGTTAGGTGTAGACATGTCCAGAGAAT